TCAATAAGTAAGCAACTTAAAATTAGCAAAAGAAGCGTATTTTGACGGCTAAAATTTGAGTCTATATTGTAAAAAATGACTTGGCCACAATTTTTTACTTAACAGTTTTTTTGTAATTTAAGGAAATTAATTAACTAAAAAAAACAAGTACATCAAGTGATTTTTGTACAATGTATTTTTTAGACTTACTATTGGTATTCTTGTTTATGTTTTTCAATGTTGCGATTCGCACAGCTGGCGCTAAATCTTGTATGAAGTAGAGAGAGATTATTGAAATTTTGGTTGAATTTTTATGATGATTTAACTCTAAATTAATATTGATTCATATTTAAAGGTGCTGTGTTATATCAATTATTCCGTTTTTATTGTTACAAATTTAAACCGGTGATAGAATATTCTATTTTAAGACAAAAGTTTCCTATGAACATGTATTAAAAAATGTTTGTACCCCCTGAAAGAGATGAGAATAGATAAAATTATAAAAGTTGGTACAGCTGATAACACCTGAACGAATTCAAAGATCAATTGTCAAAATTTTTAATCACGGGTGTCTTAAACGGTGAAACAAATTTAATTTTTAATTTTCATCCTTTTTATAGTCTGTAAGACAAATTGTAAACTGATTTTACTTAAAAACAGTAAGTTTAATCGAAAAAATGCAAGAGACCTTTTTTTTTGTTAAAAACCCTGAAATTTAGAATTTTGTGGCTAAAAGTGCCACGAACCAACAGCCTAAATAGTTAGGGTACTTTTACCCTAAACCCCCCCAGTTTAGGACGCCCCTGAGTAAAAATTTCGCCATTTTATCTTTGAATTCGTTTGGGTGTATAAAGGCTACAAGTTGTACTAAATTTTGAAATTTTATCTGCTGAAATATTGGAAGAAATCCATTAAAAGATGCACCCCTTTCAGGGGATGTAGCTCTCTTATTTAATATTTTTCGATACATGTTTATAGGAAACTTTTATCTTAAAATTGAATATCCTATCACCTGCTTAAATTGGTAACAATAAAAACGGAACACCCTGTATAAAGCAATCGATCCTTGAATTTTTTATCTTATCTATTTAGTGGTATATATTGTGTATATATTGGTCTAAATCTACTTCAATTAGTTTTTAAATAGTTAGCAATCTTTTGTGCTGCAATATTATACAAGTAGGGAAGTGGATAGGTGTGACTATTTTAGTACTATATCTTATTTAGGGGGTTGTTTTCACTGTTTGGTTTCTAGTGGAAAATAAACAAAATTGCATTTTTATCATCGATTTTACTGCGTTAAGTATTTACTTTCACTGTTTGTTCTGTCAACAAATATTTGACGATACAAACTTGTTATTTTTCTTTTGTTCTTATCAAAAAAACTGAAATTTATGATCTGACACACTCTATGCCATAACGTGACACCTTTCAAATTTTTTTGAAAAAATCTGATCAATCAGATTTTGCATTTGTTGTTATAAACCAAAGAAATTTTTATTTTTAATTAGTGTGATGCGTTTTGAATAACATTGTTGATATTTTTTCTCATCATTTCAGATATAATGTCCGGAACTAAAGAACTCCTTCTCTCCGAAGTTTCACCCGGAGTTAAAGACAGTGAATCGAAAGTCACTGTCGTTGGTGTGGGTCAAGTCGGAATGGCTTGTGTTTTCAGTATTTTGGCCCAAGTATTTCATTCACAACTCAACAATCTCAAATTTGAACAATTTTTTTTCAGAATGTCTCACACGATGTCGTACTTATTGATTGCGTTGAGGACAAACTTCGGGGCGAAATGTTGGATCTACAACACGGATCACTCTTCCTGAGAAATCCAAAAATCAACGCTAGCTCAGGTATTTTGCTTTTTTACACTGACTGCCAAAATTAACAGGACAACTAAAATTTTGCGATTTTTCACATTGCAATATTTTTGTTATTCTTTGATGGATTTCGACGTATTTTTGTTTGTCTTAAAGAAAAAACTTTGTAGATCATTGCAATTTAATTCAATAACATTTCCAGTTTTGTCTTCTAAATGTGATACTCAAAAGACGAAGGCACGGTTTTTTACTTATTTTTATACTGAGCAATAGTGTGCGACGAAGACAAACTTAAGTTTTTACTGATTTCAGTTTATTGCCCATTCTTTTCTGAATTATGTACTACATTTTCCATAGTTTTAATTCTTGAGACATGAGTGATATAAACCTTTAAAAAAAGAATTACATTTTCGATTTCAATGAATGTTCGTATTAAATAGGCCGAATGTTCCAAAACGTCAAAATAAGCGCATGGAAGCTTCCAATAGTTAACTATTTTACTTGTAATCCTTTAAAGTTCCAATAGTCCAGTCAAATTAGTCATAAAAATAGTGGTCAAATAACCAAAATTCCTACAGAGCTAAATTTTGGTGGAGACCTTGGGTACACCATTAGAAATAAAGTGTCAAAAGTCCCCATCGATCCCATGTGTGCTAAAAAAGTTATTCGGGGTCAAAGATCAAAATTTGACGTTTTTTAGATTTTTTTCGAAAACGGTAAGTTTTATCAAAAAGTAGCCCAGGCAAAAATTATAGATCTTAAAATTATCTATAAAAATGGTCTTTATACTTTTTTTCTAAAAATCACCATTCCTGAGATATCGCGATTCTAAAAGTTGAAGGAGTAACGTTCTACATCATATGCACATACAGAGTGCGCCAGAACTCGCGCCCCAAAGACAAATGCCATGTAGGTGAAGGCACCAGTATCATAGTAAAATGTTAAAAAAATTCTATCTATAAAAATTTCAAAGTTATGAGAGTTTAAATTTTGCACTTTGACTCTATTTATTTCTTTCTTTCTTTCTTACATTTTTCTTGCATTTTCAACCCTATTTGCATCATTTTGAAAAACATGAAACGGAGCACAGATTTTAAATATTTTTTCTCATACTTGTCGTGAAAATTTTAGTTGTTCGTTTTTCACAGCTTATTAAGAACGTAAAGCTCAACGTTTTTGCATTTTTTTCCAAGCAATTAGTAAACTGGTTGAATTTAAATTAATTTAAAACGATTTGAAACTGAGACGGTAAAACGCTCTAAGCGTCCTCACTTTTACTCCGCTGTACTACTTTTTTTGGATCATCCAAAAAATCGAGCAATTTTGTATCTCGTTTCGTCTCCTGGTATGTAGTTCTCCATAGTTCCAAGTTTTTCAGGTTTTTTGTGTTCAAAGACGTAATTGTGCTCTTTAGATGACATAAGCAATAATTTTCTGAACTTTCTGAACAAATATTTAGTAACATTAGAAAAGCAATGTATTTTTCAATGCTTTGCATCTCTAAGGTACCAGAAGATAAAATTTTGAAATAAATTGGTCCTCATTCGGAAAAGAACGGGCAATAACCTGAAATAAGTAAAAACTTAATTTTGTCTCTGTTGTACAGGGTAGCTGTTGTACAGCTGTAGTGTACAGGGTGCTGCATTTTGGATGTCCGAATAGGGAATCTCCGAAACTAAAATGTTTAGCCAAAAACGAGTCGTACATTCTGGGGCTCATTTTTTGAGAAAATAATATTGGTTGAAACCGCATCCCGCTATCGTCTTTTGTTTTCGACTTACAGAAAAAAGTTGACTTTTTGGCGAAATCTAAAAAAATTTATATCTTCGTTATTATAGAAGATACGGATTTGAAAAAAAGACATTATATAGGCACTTTTTTACGAGGAATTTAATAATGTAGTTAACAATTTTTTTCAGTTATTAGTTTAGCCGTAATAAGATAAACTTGTATTTTTTTAAATGGAAATCATAGGCGGCTATGGCAAACAAAATATTTTTTTATAACTATACTTAAAAAGTGAAATACACATTTTGTGTGATAACAGTTGGCCATGGAAAAACTATTTCACTCTAAATGTGTAAATAATAATCAATAAGAGTTTTGTGAACTGTAAAATAGATGAAAAAATATATAAAATTATAAAGATTTAAAAAATACAAGTAGAAGCATTGAACAAATATCCGAGCGCCTCAGAACAAAATTATTACATATTTTTTAAAAAATCCAAAAATGGGAAAAACAAATGTGTCAACAGTCTACACAATTAGAGAAAACATTTTTTTGATGATCTAATGGAGGTAGGATAATGTTTCACATAGACGGAATTTGGGTATTTGAATAGCCATTTTTGTGTCATATAAAATATATTTTATTGAGGAATTAAAGCGTTTTTTTTTTACAACACTCTATGTATCACTAGAAGTTGCAATGGTAATGTTAGCTTGTTTAAAAACAAAGTAATGTTATTAGTCGCCAATAAGTTGATTTACGATTTATTTTGCATCTTTTTCATTACTTAGTACTTAGAAAATTCTTTCATTAGTGACACTGGTTGAATATAATATAGTTTAAATCCTTTTGGTTGAAGATGGAACATTTTTTCATGGCCAACTGCGAACAAAAATCAAAGATAATTTTTTGCTAAAAATGTATTATAACAATTTGTTGCAAATATATATTTTTTAGATAAGAAAAAAACAAGCTTTTTCAAAATGACATAGCCATTTATGATTCCCATTTAAAAAAATACAAGTTTATTTTATTACGGCTAAACAAACAACTGAAAAAAATTGTTAACTATATTATTAAATTCTACGTAAAAAAGTGCCTGTATAATGTCTTTATTTCAAATCTGTGTTTTCTATAATAACCAAGATATGATTTTTTTTAGATTTCGCCAAAATGTCAACTTTTGTCTGTAAGTCGAAAACAAAAGACGATAGCGGGATGCGGTTTTAACCAATATTATTTTCTCAAAAAATGAGCCCCAGAATGTATCACTCGTTTTTGGCTAAACATCTTAGTTTCGGAGATTCCCTATTCGGACATCCAAAATGCAGCACCCTGTACACTACAGCTCAGTATAAAAAAAGCAACTGTGCTCTCGTCTTTCAGGTATAACATTTACAAGACAAAACTAGAAATGTTATTGAATTAAATTACAATGTTCTGCAAAGTTCCGACAAAGAATAACAAAATTATTGCAATGTGAAAAATCGCAAAATTTTAGTTGTCTGGTTAATTTTGGCGGTCAATGTGGTTTGTTATTTAAGTTGTGAAAACTGATAAAAAAAATTGTAGACTACGCGGCCTCTGCCGGTTCCCGGCTCTGCGTCGTAACAGCCGGAGTCCGTCAGCGTGAGGGGGAATCCCGCTTGGATTTAGTTCAACGCAACACCGACGTCCTCAAAAACATCATCCCAAAACTAGTGAAATACTCCCCCAACACTGTCTTACTCATCGTCAGCAATCCCGTCGATATCCTCACTTACGTCGCTTGGAAACTCAGCGGATTACCAAAACACAGAGTTTTAGGTTCAGGAACCAATCTGGATTCGTCCAGATTTCGTTTTTTGATGTCACAAAAACTGGGAGTGGCTCCTAGTAGTTGCCACGGCTGGATTATTGGCGAACATGGCGATTCCAGCGGTACTTTTTTGTCATTTTTTTAATCAAAAATTCGATTTTTCTCTTTTAGTGGCGGTGTGGTCTGGTGTAAACATCGCCGGGGTTCGTTTACGTGAACTTAATCCGAATATGGGGACAGATAGGGATGAGGAACATTGGGACCAATTGCATAAAGATGTGATTAATAGCGCTTATGAGATTATCAAGTTGAAGGGATACACCAATTGGGCGATTGGGTTGAGTGTGGCTTCCTTGGCGCAGAGTATCCTCAAAAACTCGCATAATGTTCACGCAGTTTCGGTTAATGTTAAGGTAAAAAATGAGAATTTTAAGAGGTGTCGTTGGTACGAAACAAAGCTAAAGATCGAGAGAAATCGTGGTCTTTCTTGGGCATTTTTCATTATTTTTAGACAATTTTTTTATGAAAGTTGGTGCAAAAAGCTAAACTATGTTTCTTTTTTTTTAAACAGGTGTCCCAGCGAGTTGGTAAAGTCCATTATTGAGCTTTGATTGTTGAAATTAAAAAAAAATTATTTAAATAGACATAAAAAAATGTCAAATCTCAAATTTTTTGACAGATGCTAAACTTTTATTGGTCGATTTCGTAATTTTTTAAATAAGTTGTTTTCTTTTACGAAAACGTACAAAAACAGTTAGAGACATTTTCACATTTGATGGCGAAAACAACAGACGGTTAAACGTCAGAAAATTTATTTGAAATTGTCAATTTTTCCAGAGACGTTCGTTAATTATTTCAGAATGTCACATATTGGTAATAAAAAATTATTCGTTCTCAAGCACAAGAAATAATTTGTCACACGTGAGACTACATAAGAAGAATCTTTCCGATAAACCTTTTTCCAAGACTAATGAACGTGTTTTATTATTTTACTAAATTATTAAACTTAATCCCACTTGTAACGTTTATGAGAAAATTGACACTGACTAGTAAGTTTTGTGACATTTTACAGTGTTTTGTTTTCGCCATCAAATATGAAAATGCCTCTAGAACATTTTTATACAAAGTGGTTATAAATTTTCATCTAGCCAGTTGCGAATTTTCCATGTAAAATAAAAAATGCCGCTTTACGAAAATAGGGGTACCTACTTGTTTTAACTCAAAATTTAAAAATGGCCGCTTACTAAGCGTCCGTTTCGAAAATAGACTTCAATTATAAACTTGTTTTCTTCCAAAGAATACATTATTATCAATTATTATTGGAAATTAGTTGAAACAATAAAAGTTCAATTAACAACAATTTATTATTAATTAATAAGTGACACTAATGACAGAACTAGAGCTTTCAAAAAAAGTAGAGCGGCACATTTAAAGTTACATGCAAAAAAAATTCCAAAGCTGGCTAGATGAAAATCATTTATAACCACTCTGTACAACTGCAAAGAAAAAAGTAGGTACAAACTTTAAGACTATAACAATTTTTTAGTGTGTTGCACTTGTACAGATAAAAAATGAAGAAGTTTCTTAAAAGTTAAATAACTTAAAAAAATTATATGGAACACGTACCTCATTCTTTGTTTATGCATCTAAGAGATTATTAAATTATCTATCCAAAAACATTTACGTTTAAGTGCTACAATTAATAACTAAAAACAAAAAATAACTAAAAAAGAACTATAAACATTAAAAAAAATCATTATATCAAAGACCAAAAAGTGCACATTTGCATAAGATATGGAAGAAATATCACTTAAAAATCACATTTATGTTACACTGAATTATTTATTTTTATTTCTACAATAAAATAATTTGAATTTCAATATTTATTTTGGCTTTTGCAACCTCCGGAGGAATCCCAAATAAGTGATCCGTGGTGGAATTATTATGGTTGCCTTGGTATCAACACTGCTCATTTTAATGAGTTTTAAAGTTAAATATCTCTTAATTTATCAATTCAACATATTGAAAATTTATTTTTTTAGATAGACAATTTATTAGTCTATTAGACGCAACAAAAATTAGGGTGTACCATTTAGATCTTTTAAATTATTGAAATTTTAACAACGTTCTACATTTTTTTAATTTTTCGACTGGATACATTATTTTTTTTTTGTAGCTATCTTAACTTTTTTTGTAATAAATCTTTAAACAGAGTATGCTTTTGAATATTAACTTATTTTAAAAACTAAGCAAAATTGACCAATGGAAGTTTAACTTAAAAAGCATTGAAATTAAAAACCACATCCAAAAATATCAAGAAACATTTTAAAAAATGCAAATTTATATTGTAATTTATTTTTGGAACACGCTGTACAGTTGAAAATAATTTCAGACCATGCACTAGATTAGTATTTATCAATTGTACAGGGTGTTAAATAAAAATTGTAAAATATTTCAGGATGTAATAGTATGGACCAAAACAAACAAAAAAGTCTTAATAAACATGGATCCGCAAAGTAACAGTTTTGGAGATATCGGAGATTATTCGTTTTTTGAAATAATATTTTGCAATCTGTTCAAACAATATCTCCGAAACCGTTACTTTGCGGTTTATACTATTATCTCCTTAAATATTTTACAACCTTTTTTAAACAACGTGTATATTTTTTTAATTTTAATATTTAAACGTAAAACTTGTTGGGACACTCTGTATATTTTAAACAAGTTTTTGTTTCGTGTACAACAAAGCTTCCAATTTTTTATTTTCTTTTTCTTTGCTTTTTGAAACACTATATTTATTTTTTAACAGTATTTCGCTCGCTTTTTGTACTAGTAGTTATGCAACACATTTTACACATTTCGCTCATCGAGTAATACCAGGTGTTCTATTTTGACTTACCAGGGCTACCACGGTATAGACCAAGACGTGTATTTGTCCCTACCGGCCATTTTGGGCCTCAATGGAGTATCCCACGTGGTACAACAGCCTTTAAACGAAACGGAAAAGTCTCAACTCCAACAATCTGCATCTCTCATTCACGATGTGCAAAAAAATATCAGCTTATAAACGAATTAGTATTATTCTTGTGATATTTGTCGACTTGTCTCATGTGACTATTGTTATATCAAGCTCTCTGTACACACTATTTTTATAAAACTTTTATACAGCTTTTTGTGTGTCTTAACCGAGCTAGATGTCACTTCTTTTAATTATTTATTTTTGTCGTTATTTAGGGCCGTCACGGCATTACTCAGGAAGTCTGCTTATCGCTTCCAACAGTTTTGGGCGAAAACGGGGTTTGGTCTATTGTAAATCAGTCTTTGACCGAGGATGAGAAAAATAGGTTGTTGAAATCAGCAACGACACTTGACGATATTCAAAAAACCATTCATTTCTAGTAATAACCAATGTGTTCAGCTTTTGTTATTAGTCTAGTTTAGATTGCCTCTAGTTTTGCTGTATTTTTAGTTCTAAGAGTTTGATTAAATGATTCTCTAGGGGCACGTTGGGATCAATTTTGACACGTTTTTGTCACTTCCTTGCGTTTTGGGACTGGATGGTGTTAATCAAGTGGTGAAAATTAATTTGCAACCTGACGAACTCAATTCGTTCAAAACTTCAGCCAAAGCTATGGAAGATATCCAAAAGAGTATTGTATTTTAATATTTATGATAATGTAAATAAATTTCAGTGTTTTTATAATTTGTGTTTTTTTCCTGAAACAAAGATTAATTAAAAACGAGGTTAATTAGTGACTTATTTTGACACAGGTATAACGATGTATTCGGCCTTATTTAATTAGTTAACAATTGTTAATTTTTATCCTCGTTTTAATTAACAATAAAAAACAGTTTATTGCTGCACTCGTCGCTTCGCTCGTTGTGCTCCTAATTACTCTACCACCTCATTTAATGTTTTTGTTTTAGTGTTTTTCATTGATATTAAAATTCTACTTAACTTATCAAAATTTTTCTAAAAGTCCCTAAATGATTTCTAATGACGGCTCCTCAGCCCAAGGTTACAAATATGAAAAGTGGCCAAACTGTTTTATTGAGTGGAATTATTTTATAAAATGTCAAGGCAAAACGGGCCCAAAATGGTTCATTGTCAGATTCAGAAAAATTCCACTTTTTGGTCTCTTCTTCCCATTTTGAAACATCGAGTTCCAGCACAACAACGCTTAAAACATTTTGCCCCACTAAAAACACAACACACCTGTGTTCACCTACAACGCCAGTGATTGTAAAGTTACGATACAAGCAGTCAGTTTGTAACTACTAGTCGTCTAGTAGCGTTTTAGTTAGTACTTTGAAATTTGAAACATTAATGTTCACAATTTCGGTGTCAAACAAGTGAAGTGTGTGCATGTTGTGATGTGTTGTTTTGGTTGTTTGTGATAAAATGACTGTTACATACACGGGACAAGTTCCTAACGGAAGTACTTTCGGTTGTTTTTGGAAAGTACTAGGAATGTAAGTTGCTGATTTAGTTGTGATCTTACGTAAACTTTAAACGATGAATATGTTGGCGATTTTAAGCGGTGACCGTGGTGCAAAACTGCAACTAGGAAATTATTTCTGGTACCTACTTTCGATTATTTAAATTATTTTATTTAGGACGCGCAAATTTGGACCAAATTGCCATTTTCAAAACATATGTTAAATAATCGGAAGTTGTTATTTTTCTAGATTATTAGTTCAATGGCTTTTGACACAGTATGCAAACAAACTTGAGTTATTAACAAAAAATATAAATATTGAATTATGACACGTACTTATGAATGATAGAATGTTGGGTAACTTAATAACACTCAACATGTACTTTTGATGTCTCATTTTATTAATGATAACAAAATTATTTAATTTATTTACCAGTTTAAAGCCTAATATATAGGGTGGAAAAAATGTTAAAAAATTTTATCTATAAAAATTTCGAAGTTATGAGAGTTTAAATTTTGCACTTTGACTCTATTTATTTCTGTTGGAAAAATAATTTTCCAAGTTTTTTTGCCACAGGCTATTAGAAGAAGAAACAAAGAAGCTGTATCCTAAATTGTAACTCTGTTTAGTGTTATTTGTGGCTTTTATTACCAAAATTTTTGTACCGTTACTAAATAATTATAAACATATACAAGATAGGAATAAAAAGATGTCAAATGTCAGAAAATAAATGTCAAATTTTTTTGACAGAGAATTTTTTAGACATTTTTTCCATTTTCCTGGGATATTATAATACTCTGTATTTATTTATCGTCACTTTGCCATTACCATCACAGTGCAGTAATGTTTCTTGGAAGGTTAAAATTGCAGTAAAACGTGTTTAACGTAAATTGATGGATTAATGTAAACTGGAATTATTTATAAACGTTCAAAAAAAATTACAAAAAAGAGAAAAAATTTGTTCCAGAAACGCTGAAAGAATTTTTAACATTTAATTAATTTCTTGAAATGAAAAATCTGTTTAATTTTGCCATTGTTGTCTTTTACTAAATATTTTTAATGCTTTGTTTAATGATTAGGTAATATTCAGTTTTTTCTCTATTTGTTTTTGAAACATCCTGTATAAGTCGATAGAATTTTTGGTGATTTAATGAAAAACTGTTAAAAGAGAGTTTTTATGGTAATAAATTTGCGTAACTGAAGTTTGGTGTCAATAAAAACGCATTTGTGTTGAAATATATTATTTTTAATATTATGGCCTTAAAAATTATGTCTTTTGTACGTCTTTTTAACACTGTATACATAATGTTTCTGAAGTGTAAGTAAAAATTCATAATTGGCTTAAATTTTTGTAACTTTTAAATTATGTTACTACTCGCAGGTATGCACTTTTTTTTAGAAACGCTGAAAGAATTTTTAACAGTTAATTCATTTTGAAATGAAAAATCTGTTTAATTTTGCTATTGTTGTCTTTCACTAAATATTTTTAATACTTTTTTTCAATCTTTGTTAAATCTAGACAAGACTTTTAAAACATGGCTACTTGAAATCCGAATGTTAGCCACATTTTTCAATATTCTGGTCCAAAAATAATTTAAAGAAAAATTTTTAGTGTCAGTACCACCGATAGGAACTTTTTTTGAATGGTGGAGGTCTAATTTTTGTTTTTGTGTTTTTGGAACATCCTGTATAAGTCGATAAAATTTTTGGTGAGATTTTTTTGCCATAAAAAATACAAAATTTAAGATGATTTTTCGAAAATTATAAACACTTTGTATAACGTTTAAAAAACTGAAAAGGACTATTTTGTTTTAAAGAAAATTATTTGACATTTTTTATAATCTACTGTAAAATTTGCTACTTAAAATCCGAATATTGCCGACATTTACAAACGAAATAATTGAGAGAAAAATTTTTAGTGCCAACAGTAAAAACATTCTTTGAATGGTTGATGTTCACTTTTTTCTCTATTTGCTTTTGAAACATCCTGTATAAGTCGATAGAATTTTTGGCGATTTACTGAAATGCTGTTAAAAGATGGTTTTTATGGTAATAATGTTCCGGTAATAAATTTGCGTAATTGAAGTTTGGCGTCAATAAAAACTCCATTGACGTGCATTTGTGTTTGAAATTTATTATTATTTTTTAATATTATTACTTTAAAAATTATTTCTTTTGTATGCTAAAAGTAATTTCGTCTGCAATGTTTCTGAAGTGTAAGTAAAAAATTTTTGTAACTCTTAAAATGTGTCACTGGGTATGCACTTTTTTTCAGAAACATTGAAACAATTTTTAAACAGTTTTAATTAAAAAATTATATCTACTGTAATAGTGACAGTTTTTAGAATACAATTTCTTTATTTTTGAGTAATCTACAATTTATTTTACAATTATTCTCTTTGGACATTAATATACTTGTGACGAGAAGTTTTCTCAAGTCAAATTGCCATTAAAGAATACAAAAGTCATATCCAAATAATTTTTTGAAAAAAGTAATTTTTGGTGTTTAGAAAGAAAAAATGTCATCTAAAAAACCGTACAGAACCTTTTATTCAATGTTTGGTTTCAGGAAAATTTTTGCTTGTTTTATGCAAAAAAATAATTTCAATAATTATAAGCATTGCAAGTGGGTAGATTTACAACTTGAACGATGCAAATATGACATAAACTGGTTTAAAAAATCACAAGAAAACATGATTTACATCTAATAAAGCAACCTTGATCGTTCTATGATCGATTCGAGTACTTATACAAATTATTTCCTCGATTTCTAGTAACGTTTCAAGAGTTTGAAAATATTGACTAAAAGCAAACTTTCCGCACCGGTTTGTTTTAGTGCTAATTCAAATCTGTTTAAAGTAACTGTAAAAAACCAAATTACATAAGGTTGTGTATGTATCACTTTTACAGTCTTACAACAGTATTTGTTATAATTGTTGAAATGAAGCGCTGACAGAATGATTATCTGGTCAGTTTCAGTTTGTACTTCCGTACGGTGCCTAATTACTATTGCAAATAATGACCTCCTTTTGTGTTACAATACAATCAGTCAGTAAACAAATCATACAACCGAAAAGAGAAATCAGAACTAAAAATCTAATCAATAAATAAGTCGTTAACATCTCTGAGAAACATTGAAATGTTAAATATATGCCGATTAGTATCTTAGAAAAAATCACTCACAATCGATTACACGTGATATAAAATCGGCTTACGTTGAGTGAAAGATTTACAGTTATGTGGCATTAAAACACAAGTAATTATTTCTCTACTTTTCCACTTCAAGGCATTCCATTTACAAAGACAATATCAATAAGTGCAATTCTGTTATTGTTTCTGTAATAAATTTTCTGAAATATTACTTGCTGTATTGTCGTCCACCTGTTGCTTTGAGGAAGTAAATTGAATTTTAACAAGGTTGGGAGTTGCTATGGGAGGTCGGGTATGCAAACCAACCAATGATGCGTTCTATTTCTAGTCTTGGATTTGGAACAAATTAAATACACAGTATATTATTTAAACGACAAGTATTTCTGATCACTAAAAATAATAAATGCACAGTAAAAATAATAAATGCACAGTAAAATAATAAATGCACAGTAAAAACAATGAATGACTGTCTAGCAAAACGAATTAATTTAATATTCACACATTTACATACAAAATGTTTCCGAGCAAAATCGGAATATCGCAAAGCGTTTAACAACAAAATTGTGATATCAGGAGTACAGCAGTGCAAACAGTGGCGTACGCTGATTAGACTGATTACCATTTGTGCACAGTTTCCAGTCATTGCTAAAATCATTCTTGCGCAGGGGCTCTTGCTAATACATATACCACCCTCCAATAATAATAAAAATTCAGTAATATAAAAATAAGTACCAATAATTATAACATTCTTGCGCAGGGGCCATACATTGTTATGTAACCAAGACTGAAAATTCTTTAAATTTTATGTTATTTTACTAATTTTGATTAAAGTTACTGAGCGTCCTTTACTTAGCATTTATTATGCAAAATGTTATATGTATTGACCATTTTTAATTTTTACTGTGCAAAAATTTATTAAATACTGGTCATTTATCATTTTATACTGATCAAAATTGAATTATTTACTGATCGCTTTATTACTACTGTCTTGGATTAATGCATAGAAAGTTATTCAAATAAAATTTAAAAAAGATAAACTAAAAAAGAAAATGTACCATTCCTTTTGGCCATACAGAATTGCATATACAGTTTTTTTCTTTGAATTGCATTTTTGTTTTGTTTAATAACTACTAGAAAAAAATAATGTTGTGAGATATTATTTTTAATTAGTAATAAATTATATTAAAATAGTCAATTTACCTCACTTTTCTCTACTGTTTTTAATGAGTAGTAAACTCGTATTGTAAACTAAACTAAACGAATATTTATTTTGGTTGTGTGTCGAATTCTTGAATAAACAGAATTTTTGTTTGAATATTTTACAATTTTATAATGTAAAATTTGCATTATAAAAAAGTTCTTTACTTTCATCGATAAAACGATGAAAATGTAAGATGCTTTATGAGATTTTGCTATTAAATATTAATTATTACGAATCATTTTATCTCACTTTCCCCTTGTTACTATTTTTTATAAAGAGTAAGTCAGTCTAACAATAGGTTGTTTTTTAAAACATTAAACGATAAAATGCTTTTAAAGAAAACTATACTCTTTGTACAATATGTAATTATATGTAGGTAATTAGAGAAGTAAAATTTTTATTTTAATATTTTACATTATAAAAAAGTTCTTTACTTTCATCG